CAAGAAACCAACGATCGCTACAGCATCGTTCGACTTCTGCTTCCTGGACACACAAGCAAGCATACGTCCAGCAGTACCTATCACGATCCAGGGCGCTCAAGGCACCGCTTACCTGGACAGTGGCGCCAAAACCAGCCTTGCCAGTGCCCAACTCACGACACTACTCAAACAACGCGGGTACCCATTTTCTGAGAAGACGGTTTTGCTAACACAAGCAGACGGCAAAACCGAAAACCGGCAGGTGCTAGTCACTACCATACCGGTGACTCTAATGGGCAGAACCATCGACACCACGTTCGTGTCACTCCCAGATGCTCGGGATTCGCGTACGCTACTTGGAATCGACTTCCACAAATCAGCAGGACTCGTAATCGACTACGAAGCTCAGAGATGGCATTTTAAAGGGAGCAGACACGAGACATACGGATTTGTGTCAAAGGACGATGACGCATTGCCAGCGAACGGTAGCACCGCCGCTCTAGATATTAGAGCTGCCAACACGCCAACGCTAGAAGAACTTACGACGATGCTCGAGGAGCATCACCTTCCCAGACCGCTAACCCCCATTCCTGATGTTACCATGGAATGTGACGTCATATCAGGAATCGCTGACTCATACGGCCCATGCATCACAAATGACTTTTCCAGAACGGGATTTATGATGCAGGATGCGGCTAACGCTGTCCAGCAAGAATGGGATAGGAACTTAGAAGGGCCCTACGCACGTCTTTGGAGGGCCAGTATGGACATCCAAGATGTAACCCTGCGTACAGATGAGGGTACGAAACTCAGCGAGGCACAGGTGAGAGGACTCAACGAGCTGCTGTGCCAAAACATGGATCTTTTTTCCGCTCACGGCCCCCCAACGCCCTTCGCAGAACACCGGATTAACACAAACAACCATCCTCCCATATCAAGCCCACCATATAGGCAAAACCCAGTGAGGCTAAACTTACTACGCGCGGAGGTCAGCGAATTGCTCGAGCAAGGGATAATCGAGGAATGTGAGAGTCCATGGGCCGCACCTACCGTGCTTGTTCCAAAGTCCAGCGGAGGTTACCGACTCTGCATTGATTACCGCCGTTTGAACGACGTCACCGTGGCCGATACGTACCCACTACCACGCCTGGATGACCTCTTGCATTCAACCGGAAAGGCAAAATATCTATCCACCATGGATCTGAAGTCCGGCTATTACCAAATCCAAGTTGCTAAGGAAGACCGTGATAAAACCGCTTTCGTCACCCCATTTGGCCTATATCGGTTCTTACGACTTCCTTTCGGTCTCCGGAACGCCCCAGCCGCATTCCAACGTTTGATGGATCGCTTCAAGATAGGACTAGACCATATCCAGATACTGGTGTACCTGGACGACATAATAGTTCTATCCCCGACATATGACCAACACATGCAAGACCTGAGGGATTGTTTTCAACGAATGCGACATTTTCAATTACGAATGAATCGACAGAAGTGCCGTTTCGGCTGTAGCGAGGTGAAATATCTGGGACATATCCTCACCTCTGAAGGCATTAGCACCAATCCTGAGAAGGTGTCTGCTATTGCCAACATGGCACCTCCAAGGAACACAAAACACCTCCTAACATTTCTACAAACCTGCAATTGGTACCGCAGATTCATCGATAAATTTTCGGAAGTAGCCAGGCCACTCACCAACCTAACTAAGAAGAACGTAGTGTGGGAATGGGGTCCAACCCAATCAGCAGCTTTCGAAGAACTCAAAACAGCCCTCACCTCGGCACCTATTCTCAAGCCAGCTGAACCCGGGAAACCCTACATACTGCGAACCGACGCAAGCGCGTATGCCTTAGGAGCAGCTCTCCTCCAGGGGGAGGGAAACGAAGAACGTCCCGTTGAATACGCAAGCCGTTTATTATCCCCGCCGGAAAGGAACTACTCTACCACCGAGCGGGAAGCTTTAGCACTTGTGTGGGCAGTCCAGAAGTTCCGCGGGTACTTAGAGGAGGCACCCTTCATTGCGATCACCGACCATCAGCCACTACGATGGCTGATGTCCCTCAAATCACCAAGCGGAAGATTGGCAAGATGGGCCTTGCAGTTACAACCATATAACCTAAAAATCGAATATACGCCAGGAAAGGCCAATATACTCGCCGACACCCTATCAAGGCCACCGTGTGACCAAGACACGACCATCGACTGTCCGCTATGCATCGTTTCCATAGAGTTACCAAGAACAGGGGCCAAAGAACTACGCCAAGATCAACTGTCCGACCCGGACCTAAAGAAAATCATCGATTCACTCGAGCAGAACAACCAAGAAGAATCTACCCGATGGGCTGCACGGGGATACATGATGTCACAAGGAGTGCTACACCGCTATTCATCTGATGACGACACTGAAAATCCGCAGTATGTGGTGCCTTTGAACAAACGCGAAGCCATCATTCGAGATCACCACGACGCTCCGTCTGCCGGTCATTATGGAGCCGAACGCACGTACTACAAGATCATTCAACGATTCTATTGGACAGGAATGAGAAAGATGATACAAGAGTATGTAAAAAACTGCGAGATGTGCCAAAGGTACAAAATAAGTAATCAAAAACCTGCTGGACTGTTACAAACCCCTGTGATGCGCCAACGATTTGAAAGCATATCCATCGATCTGTTTGGCCCACTACCAAAAGGACCCGACGGCGAAACATGGATATTTATCGTGGAGGATTGTGCATCCCGATGGATTGAGTTGTTCGCACTCAAGGATGCCAAGGCTGAAACATGCGCATGGGTCCTGGTTCAAGAAATCTGCTTGCGATATGGACTACCTAGGCGAATCATATCAGATAACGGCACGCAATTCATAAGCGCCGTCATGCAGAAGATCTGTTATTGTTTTGACATGGACCAGATCTTCACACCGGTATATCATCCTGCGGCCAACATGGTGGAACGCAAAAATAGGGACTTGAAACCACAGATATCTATCCTCGTGGGAAATGAACATCAAACCTGACCCGAGAAATTAGCCAGTATTCGATTTGCGATGAATACAACCCGGTGCCAGTCGACAGGGTTCTCCCCAGCATACCTCACCTTTGGCCAAGAACCACGAACGCCCAGCGATGTCAAGCACGACCTCAGGGCCGTAATCTTAAGCGAAAATTTTATACCTGAAGTCACGCCCCGCCTCGTGAGGATCGTCGATACCTTGAAGGAGGCCCGAGAAAAACACGAGGCAGAACAAGACCGACAAAAACACTATGCCGACCAGCACCGACGACCCGGCCCACAAATCCAACCTGGTGATCGTGTGTTAGTCAAAACTCATCCGGTGAGCAACTCAGCTAAGGGTCGAACATCAAAGTTTGCACCTAAGAGGGATGGACCGTACATTGTACTCAACGCCAAGGGACCCTGCAGCTTTGAAATTGCAGCACCAGACCATCCTTCCCTCCCATTAGGGGTGTACCACGTCTCCGATCTTCGATTGGTCACCACCCAGGACGAAGACCCACAACCTATACTACCAATTCGACGGAGAGGACGCCCTCGCAAGCAACCTCCACGTCATCAGAACCCCGCCGGGACGTCTAGGGGTTCCGAAGGGGGAGATTTGTAACATCCCCCAAATTAGTACCCATACGCTCCGCCGGACCCTCCGCGTTAGCGCTCGTGTCACCAGCGGAGATGTCGGTACGACACCTCCCACGCCAAACCACCCTCACCCCATTGGACAAATAACCGACTCAGCCCTACAGTAGGAGAGGGGATCACTAATAAAAGAGGGTAGCACACCCTCTTCAGACAGAGTTCTACCAGCTCTCTTGGGTGATCTCCACAAGCACTGGGTGTCCGGTCAAGGTGGAACAACTCAAGACTTGCCCAGTAGAAGTCTCCTCGTCCTTCGTAGCGAACTCCACAAGCACTGGGTGTCCGGTCAGGGTGGATAAGCTACGGGCGAGCCGCAGCCCCGATACCACGCCGAGCTACCCCTTCCGAGAAGGCGAGGGTGGCCCCCAAGGCTTCCACAGCAATCGTCCCCGAGGCGGAACGCCGTGACAGCGGATGCGGGCTCCGAATAATTAGTGTACTGTGTTTTTTTTGACTTTGTAAATACATTATTATTAAATAAACTCTTACATTGCTAATTTTTTTACCATGTAAATATTTTGTTGATTAATGCTTCCATCATATAAATTGTTTGATGTCGAAACTTGATCTCAGCTTAGAATGCTTTGGGTTTAAAATTTCACGAGAGTGTATGGCGAATTTAAATGTTGTTTATTGCTCTTTCTGAAACTTTAACACTTGTTCAGTTGTAGTTTAATATCAGAGTCATAGAAATTGAACATTTAATTGGAATTGAGATAAATAACACAGGAATACGTGGCGGAAGTGGAGTGCACGGTTCTTTGTTGAGTTGTCGGTCGCGCCATCTGCACAATAGAAGTCAGGGCCTGCTCGTACGGCATGTTCGTAATGGAGGGGTGCTGTGGGGCAGTGCTTGCGATAGAATAGTTTTTGAGCATGAAGAACGTGAAAAAAATCCGTTTCTCATGATTTTATAGGCGGCGGGCCACTGACAAAAAGATCTAATGGACCTTAAGCAAAAGTGTCGCGTATGAAACTGTGTAACGTTGTGTATTAATTGCACTTGAAGCGATTTGATTGATTTGAGGGGTGGACAGTAGATGCTGCCCATATTTGGTGACGGAATGCATGCATTTATGACGTTCGGAAAAGAAAATGTTAAACAAAGAGATGGGTTCAATGTGAATTGCAATTGAAGTCATATGATTGCCCATAATCTTCAATGGTGACCTATTTTGAGAGAAAAGACTTTGAAATACGTTAAATTAACATAATCGTGGACTCTAAATGAGATGGGCACTTTGTCTTATTTCTTTTATTTATTCTTGAGTGCGCCGCATTTGGCGATATGTTTGCAGTATTTTTGAACGTTTTTTATAATATAGTTAATTTACTGAGGGAAACTTTTGTAAATAAAACAAGTATGAGGGTTCATGATTTTATATTAAAAACCATATTTAAAAAATAAATAACATAATGAGTAAACAGAATACGTATCTACGAATACTATGTACAGGAAAGTATATCATTAAAGGAGAATTATTACAGTTCTGTGGCATCTTCACTTTGGCTAAATCTTCTATGACACACGTGAGTTATGTTATCTGTTTCAGGAATAACATACGGTCCCTTTCTGAAGGTACCATATCCTTCCGAATTGGAACTTTCCTGGGTATCGTGCACATGCGTCCTTGCTAAAGGGTTAATGTTAGTTTTATATCCTCCACTGTATGAATTCCTTATGTTAACAGTAAAGGAAGGACTAGGTGGGTCTAACGAATCTACAAGTGACGTAACTCGTAAGGGCTTATTACTTTCCCTTCGAACCCCATTCGTGACTGACGACCTTTCGTTTTCCAAGTAATAGGGCTCAACATACTCAGAACTACAATTGCTAATTCGAACATTCTGATTTTGATCATTTTTCCCAAGCTGATTTGTGTTGAGTCCAAGACTTGCTTTCTTTGCGTTCTTTTTAATAGAACGGGTGTACTCTCGGGTACCTCTTCGTTTCAGAGTGAAATCACGTTCGCCTTGTTTTGCTTTACTGTTCCACTGGATCCATGTGTGTCTCAGTATTGGGTCTTTGGGACCCCAATTATGGGATGGTTTTAACGATGATTTGAATTTCTGTAAGAAGAAAGAAGAGTAAAATGGTTTTAAAAATTGAGTACTTGAGTCTTACATCAGTAACCGTGTAACCATCTTGGTTGGTAACAGTGTAAAATCCGATGACAAAAATAAATATGGCAGCTGTGAGAACTATAGCCCAACCCGTAGCGCACAACCATTCAGGATCGTTCTTGAAGTCTTCTTTAGGAAGGGTGATCAAAGCCCATGCGAAAATACCAATGAGGAGTAAAGGCAGAATCCACCAAAGGATTAACCAAACTGTGCTTAAAATGTGACCCAACATGAACTCAAAGTCCGATTTTATTCGTTCGGTACCTGCAAATTCCTATTTTATAAAAAAATCATTTGTGGTGATAACAACAATTACCATAAAATGCGATAAGGGCAAGGATTTCAATGATGACTGAAATGATGATTAAGTTTCCAACTATGTAGTGGTCCAATAAGCGTACTATTTGGAAGTCAGACTTTAACAGAACGGCGCAACCTAATATGAAGCCTATGAAGCTTAAAACGATGCTGGTTTGCCACCACTTCAGACGTCTTTTGTTTTGTACTGTTATTACCTTGAGCAATGTGTAGGTAATGGTTGCCTGGAAATGTAAAAATTACAGTTAGTTTTTTTATTACATTGTATTAATTGTTGTTGGTATTTCATTTAAATAGCAACTTTTTATGGTTACTACAATAAATTATATTTAAAATCTCTAGGATTATTGAATAGTAATTCCATTAGAACTTTTATAATATGTATATATGTCAAGATTTTTTATCTTGTAAAGGCCATCTTATCAAAACAATAAGCCAAGGGTATTATCTATTTACGCACTAAAGATTCATCGTTGTTTTATTTTACATCTAGAAAATACGTTTTATTAGTATGCTGGTGATCATTTAATAAAAGATCAGTGTGTTTGATTTTTTTTAATTTTTGTAATACAAGGTATTACAATGTTTTATTGGCAGATTATTCCACCCCTATGAATTTTTGAGTTCTTTTTGATGACCCATTCCTGTAGAACTTATTTAGGAGTCCAGTTTAAAATTATTTTCAAATAAACAGAATGTTTTATTTAGTCTAGGGAGTTTTGTAAGACAAGGCAGGTAGAATCCTAAAAAGTCACTTCCTGTTTTTGGCGTGTCACTTTTTGTTTGGTGTTAAGAGTGGTAGATAAATTTTGGTTTTAATTTTACAAAAGAGCAGGTCTTTAAATAAAATGAAATCGCATTCGACACCACGGTCCCCCTTCAACACGTGTTATTTTTGTTTTATTGTTTGTAAATTCCCTGTTCATTTTTTTAATACAATTTAACTACAATAATGGAGGTGTTTTCATAAAACACATGGCAGAAAATTTAGTTATTTAAGCTTAACTTATTTTAGTGTCAATATGGTCCTGTAAGTTTTTAAGGTATTCTATTATCGACCTTCATAACTTCCCACTCGAGATTTATAACAATTCATTCATTAAAACTAATCTTAAACATCGATCTATTTTGAGAGTAAGGATCTTGAAATTTATCATGGGTTAAATTAATATCACCGTGGACTCGAAAGGGAGAGGGCTTTAATATTTTTCTACAGGTTCAATAATTTCTTACAGCTTAAATTTAAAAAATATTAAGCACACATTCAAAAAATGATAATTTGTTTACCTTATGTACGTCGACTGGGCCTTGTCATAAATTAATTATTATATTCAGGTTCAAAATATCACTATCACTACCTATGTTTAGTATTGTGGAGATAAACAGTTCTAAATAAGTATGAAATAAAAATTATGTTTATATATCTACGTCCGTCCTAAACATTATAGGTACTGACCGATTTAGTGTTAATTAATTCTTAACGACGAAACAAAGATTCGTCAATTCTTATTATATCTTGTGGTTGGCTAATCACTTCTACATTAGGGGCTAAGTACGGTTAATTGTGTCGGTTTATATGGATATTAGTGTAAAATGCTCATTGTTCGTTGACAAGGGGGACGTTGATGTGAAAATCGTATTTCCGGGGACGAGCTATGTCATCCAATTGCTTTAATGACGATTTCTCTTTTTTATTTCTGTGTTTAAATTTGTGAAATTCAAAAATTTGTATCGATTTGATTTCATTTTTGAAAGCTTGTTTCACAGCTTTTCCCTCTCCAGAACGGAGAATACGCATTTAAGGCAAATTTTGAATTTTTCGCGGGTTTTGATAATTTTGAGCGCATGCCTTAACTTTCGCGGGATATTTGGATTACCACATTCTATTTATACAAGATGATTTCTTTTTTATCAATTTATTTATCAAAGTTTAAACTTTTAGTGGTTTTTTTTTAATTCCCGGTTCTATCTGCAAAAATGATGAAGATTTTAAATATGACATTTTTTACATTATAGTTGTTACAGTTGTTAAATACACATCTTTCTTTTCTTTTCTTCTGTTTAAATGTCATGTTGACATGTGTCCTGTCTAATGACATAAAGCTCCATTCAAACTTTTGACATGACAGTAAAAAATTAATGTGTGCTTCCTCATCAAAAAATCGATGACGTCATCACAAAAAATTCAATTTCTATTAAAAAATATGCTCTGATTTGTACAGTATATGTTAATATTACTTATATTTCGTATGGTTTATTTTTCAATTTTTCAAATCTATCTGTCTAAATATATGGTTTGTTCTTGTAAGTGAACGTCAAACGACATAAAAAAAACATTTTCAGTAATTTTTTCACACTTACACTTGTGAACTTAATAATGTACCGATGAGTTAGTGCGCCATTTTTTAATCATCCTGTATTTATTTTCTGATGTCGTTTTGTTTATTACTCAGAACAAAATACGAACCGAGATAACTTAAAACCATAAAATGTGTCTCATTTTATATCACCAAGTTTAAATACCCAAGACGTGAATCACGAAATTTGATGCAAATTCAGTTCAGTTCGTGAATTGGCCCATAAATCATGAAATGCATTAAATTTTATGACGGTTTATGAAAGAGCAATTACTTGATCAAGTTGCTGTAATCATATTAAATATTATAAATCAAAAAGATTGATTTTAAAATGATAATGACACAAAAACTGTTTCCCTGTATTTACAAACTCACCATGCTTATAAAACCAGCCAATAAGATTGCAGCAAAGGCAACAATAGCCCAAATTTTGGCGTCGTCTTTATCGTCGCTCTTGACTGTGATCGTGTATATAAGAGCTAGAAGATGAAGTTCTGGAACATCCTGTTCACTCGGAGACACAATGTCCACTTCACCAGAAAATATGTAACAGATAACAACTCCTCCGATTCCAAACAGCAAATTAGCAACAGTGAAGCCCAAAGCAGTCCTACGAGAAAATGATTTTTGCGAATTCCAGACAATTGCTACCTACTTACCACAAAGGGTTCACTTTGTTGTATATTCTTCCAGCATTTGTGATGAAAGTCCCAAAGCCTACATTTGTTGAAAAGAAAACCTGAATGGCAGCGTAGTACCAAACCTAAAATTTCAGTTGCATCAAACGCGGAAAGAATGAGTAGTAGGTACTTACAGAAGACTGTCCTAAAAGTGACCAGTCACTGTTACTGCCTAATCTTTCTAAACTTTCGAAATTGTCCTCAACATCAACTGCTTTTACTATGAGGGCAATCATACAACCCAGTACTGGAAACAGAAGGATGGAAATGGATCTAGTGAAACTTTTGGTTCTGCGGATGGACCTACAAATTTGCTTAATCAGTTTTTTCATCTAGTGTGATTGTGATTACGTACAGAATTATTACTATGATCCAAATGACAAATAAAATCCCCGCGAAGATTCCATACCACTGTGGATCATCCCACGGAGACACGAGAAAAGTTTTTCTAAAAAAGTTCAAATTACAGTGTGTTTCTTTACCCAGAAAAGTAAACTTACTTTAAGCATTGTTGACCATCGTGTCCGTCCACGGAATAGCCATCCTGAAACAACAAAAAACTTACTAACACAGTTTAATGCTTTTGTGGAAGAAGGCTACATTTCTTCCTCATAGAAAATGTCTGTAACGCTGATTTGAGTTTATTTTTTGGAAACAGACCGCAACATTTTATACATAATTAGTTAAATTAACCACAAAAATATATTTGGTAATGGTCCGTCCACGCCGTGGTGGTTTAACCATAACAAATTACCTTTTTTCTTACGGAAGATACTCTTATTAATTTAATTTAAAAAATACTAGTAATAGTTGTGTACAACATGAAGCTTACAGAAAACACTTTTTCTGGCTCCGGCATAGATTAATTGAGATATTCTATAAACGAAGTTCTTATACCGCTTGAACGGTCAATTACTTTTAACGATAACCATCTAAATAGTTAGTACTGACCAACTTATTTTTTACCGGAAAACAGAATAATACTGTGGTTAATGCGCATAACGTCATTTTTCAATTAAATTTTTTGTGCATTGAGGTCGAAATTTTTTCCTAACGAGGATTTGAAAATAATCGGTGAAGAGAATCGCGAAACTGTTTCTAATTGCCTTAGCAATTTCAGTGATGATGGAGATGTTCACTACCTATATACAGTTTCACTCGAAGAACATCGAAAGTGAATAATCTAAGCGTGTTAGTCGCTGTTCTTAATGTTATGTCACTTTGATGATATAAGTGATATAATTACTTAGTATGGGTATTGTGTTCTTTTCCGACTATAAACGGCGTTAACTTATTCTAAAATGTGATCTATTATTCACTGTGGGAGCTACTGAGAATTCAAAAAATGAATAACAATTGTATCTACTTTGTTCAATTGTTTTTAGTTCTGACGTCATATGCATTTTTCTAATGGAATCTTTCTCGTTGTGAATAAAGTTTTCCGGAAATTCCAATGAACTCAATTAATAGTATCTTGTAGCTTAATTGTTTTTCAGATATTTACACTTTTCACTCAGTGCTTTATCAGTCGAAAAATATAACCTATTTTAAAATGTGTATTTAATTTTTGGAGGTTTATAAACGTCTTTTTTACGTTATCTTTAACATTTGAAAATAAATTAGTGATTTGATTGATTTCTGTTGTAGATATCGACAGGTTTTATTCCTTTTCTATGCTCCCACAATTTTATTTTTTTACAGCACAATTCACTGCTGCTCGTTGCAAAAAATCACCATTTTAATTTTTTCAAGATACCTATGTGGTATTATTCCGAACATTTCTTTCATTTCGTGTTATTCTTCTTATCTAACGCTTGAGCCTTGCTCTTCATTTTATTTGCCAAAAGCCAACTTTTGTTGCTGTCAAGTAGTATTGGTCTCTAAACTATCTTATATACTGTTATCTACGTATCCGTGAATCTCAGTTCTTCCTATAAATCTTATACAACTTCGAGGCGTTGTTAAAGTTTTGCTCAATTTTCATTTTCAATGCCGTCGCTGATGCTTGTTACCTGAACGTCTTAATAGTATAATTCTTTCGAAATATAAACATAAACAGGCGAATTTAATCATGTACTGAAAATTTGAGAATACATTTTTCCCGAAGGTTATCTGCTTTAAATATTTCACTTGTTCGGATCGCGTCTCCTTGGTATTTGGGCTTCTTCGGCACAGCATTACGAAACAAAAATCACAAAAACAAACTGAAAATACAGTTATAATAATATTAATTTTTCAAAAGCATTTACTCTCTATCTAAAAAAAAAACGAATTTTTTAGAAATCGGACACTTATTTTGAGACAAAATTTATTTTCAAATCGGACACTTTATTTGGGACAAAGGGAGAATAATTTATACTCAGTAATATCTACTTTCTCTTTGATCTGCTACAGATTAAATATCCAGCCTTGCATCCCTTTTCCTGGACGAAATCTAGCAAGATTCTCATAAATCTATTCTCAAGAATTCTCTTATCCACCTTATCCGCTGCGATTAGTAAGGAAATGTCTCTGTAATTATTATTATTACATACCGCTGTTTCTACATTCTTTGTATCCTCTGTTTATTATTACTCCTATATATATCAGGTGGGATTAGGTCAAGTCAAGTCAAGTCGAACGATCATTAACTCCGCTCCAATCTCGTTACATTATTTTTGGTATATGGAGTGCCTTAATCCCTCCCTTTAACTCCGGACCAAACTAATAAGAGTATCTATTGTAAATTTTGTATAAATTTTAGCTATCCCTTTTTAAATTCCAATTTTAAAACCCGTGCAAATAGAAACAAACGTGAAACTAAATAAGCGAGTAAGTAGATGTGTAATAAGTTAGACAACGGTAGAATTCTAATATTGCAAATATTATGAAAACCGCATTTCTAGATATGATTTTGTAAAATGTGTCTCGTGCAAATGTAACACTGTTATGTTATAATTTATAACAAATTTTGTAAGTCCATGAATGCTAATATTGTGTAAATAAACAATTATTAAAATAATGTTTATTAAATAATAATTAGAACCAGCTAGATATCTGCCAGACCGGAGTTAATCCTATACCGAAGGAACGAATATGACCGCGACCGTTACGGTGTCGGAATCGTGAACGCCCGACCTGGATCAGAGTTGAGGTTCTGCGGTCAAGTCAGATCAGGCCAGTGTTTTTCCTTGTTCTTAATTTATTACATCATGTGTGTACTTTATGGATTTCCTTACTTGTTCCTTTTATTACATCGTCAATAATAATCACCATGAATAATGCCGGGCTCATGATCTCATCCTGCCTCAGACCAGCGTTAATTTCGAATAGTTTTGATTCCAAATTATTTTTCTTATATATAAATATAACTCTTGTTTCTCTCATGAAAACTTTTGATTACTAATATTAATTTTTCTAAGCTTCCCCAAATTTCTCTTTGTCATAATCCTGTTGTACCATTTTTTTCATCACTTGTCTTTGTTGTTTGTAATATTCATAGATTTCCTTTGATTTTTCACTTAAACAGATATTCCAGTTTTCTTTTCACTTCCCAAGCGTGTACGCTAAGGAAGTATAGTAATCGCGTCCATCGGACGAATGGCCACTTTTATCTTTTCTGGACGTTTCATGATCCCTAGAGTATGAAAAAGTAGTCTCCCGTTTCCGCCTGTCTGTCTGTCTGTCTGGTGTCTGTATCATGTAGATGGTTAAATGCAAACCAAAATTTTGCCAATCATCCCCACCAACAATTTGATGACGTCAATTCAAAGAATTATATATTTATTTGATTTAACTTTTATACAAAAATGTAGTCCTATAAGTGTGGTGTACGAATCCGCTTTGAGAAAAAAACATAATGCACGGTATAATAACAGTTTACCAATAGCGGAAGGCATCCCGGTCCTGGTTTAGTGGTTACGAGTTAGGAATGCGGACCGGACGTCGCGCGTTCGCTTCCAAACTTGACCTTTTGTTTTTTCTTTTTTTTTGTCTCTTCTTCGAATTGTGTATTATCTATGTCTATGACGTCCTAACAATTTTTTGATTGATAAAATTACCCCACTTCCTACGCTTCTCTTTATTTCAAAATATAAAACATTCTCGGGGTCCCGACTGTCTTTCTAAAAATGTAAAATCTTTTCTGGGGCCCCAAATGTATATTTTAAGAATGTGAAACTCTCTACTTTTACGTTTTCTCGACCTTTCATGACCCCTAGAGTACGACAAAATAGGTCTCCCTTTTCCGTCTGCCTGTCTGTCCGTTTATCTGTCTGTCTGCCGTCACAGATGTTTTTAAGAATGTGAAACCTTCTCAGGAGCCCCGAGTGTCTTTTTTTAAGAATATTAAATCTTCTCGGGGCTCCCAACTGTATGTTTTTAACAAGGTGAAACCTTCTTTTTTTCTGTTACACTGTGGTTAGTAAATAAATAAAGGTCATCACGAAAAAATAAAATTCCGCAAAATCAAGTTTTATAATTTTTCAGAGAAGCAGACTGTACTTCAGGAGCGAGGGAAGTTCTGTCGAAATAACTTTCGACCAATTTTTTACTTTTAAATTGTGTTTTTATCTCGTTGTTCCACCAGTGTGCTTATTTCTTATTTCTGTTTGATATGTTTGCTTTCTTAAATTTCCTTTGCTGATTTATTTTGAACTGTTGTCATACGTCTTTCAAATTCTGGTTATCGTACTGCTGCCTGATTAAGCCTGTTTATTTTTTCAAAACCTGAAAATCCGCAAACTTCTGACTTACGACAAGAAACTAAGGATCTTCGTTCTTAGAGTAAAACGGAAGAAAACATGTTGAAAACATTGTAATTTTAAAATGAAAAATTAATTATCAGTTACAAAATCTAAAAAGCTTGAAGCACCTTAAATTAACGTTTGTTACACACGTCATCTTATATTGTTTATTACAGGTCATCGGACTCAATCCACGATATAACTAAGTATGTACTACGAAAACAGTTACAAAAGGTAATTATGGAAATATTTACGAATTAATTTAGAAGTCACTCAGCGTGGTATATATAATTATTTGGTTCCAGGATTGTATTTATCGTCTGAAAAAGTAATTTATCTATGATTTTTAAAATTATTTAATAACGGGCACAAATATTTAACATGCTATATACAACTATAGTTCCTACACAGGTCGTAGCTTCTGCAGTAATTTGGTCAATACATTATTTCCTACTTTATCAATCAAATTTTTGAAAAATTGTCGAAGTCTTTGAAATTACACAAATGAGTATGTTATGATGCAATGTCAAAATACGTGGAACTAGCCAACAGGTACAATTACTCTGTTTTTTACGCTAAACTTACGTAACAACTTATGAGAATGAGACCCAAAATAATTCGTATTCCAATTTCTACATCCCGGAGTTTTAGCAAAAAAAGAGTAAATTACAGCAGCTACGTAGGTACAGTTTAATACATATTAACAACGTTACGTAACATTATTGAACCGTGTGTGTTCGTATAAGATACAGTTAAGTCTTTATTCCAGGATTATACAGCCATTGTTGTAGATATGTACGTGTATGCTAGGTGGGCGTTATAAAAATTCAAAGTGTGATGCAGCAATTAAAACGTTTTGAAAGGAGTAAATACCTTATTTGTTATTCATGTCGTATACAGTTAATAAAGACAGATGAGCTGCATAAAATTATCTTCTGTGTAGTTAATGGGAACACCTACTTCAAGTGAGGCCAAAACTTTTCGCAAAGTATCAATTAACGATGTACTTGAGACAATTCTAAAAGGAAAACTATAAAAAAAAAAAATTCCTTGACACAAACCCTTATAATTTGGTCGGTGATAAGAAAGAATTAGTCATTGTTTAGAGACAATAATTGTGAACACCTTGATAGCACGTTAGGAATAAATTATACTCACAGCAATCAAACGACAAAACACCGGCTAACAACAGAAACGGATAATCAAGTGATTTTCATCGTGTTTTTACTTATGAAGTTGTTTTATTGGCGGCATTTATGTTTATAGGGAATCACAGTAATAATGCAAAACATGTTTCCGTCATCATCAAGGACTGAGCACTTCCGCTTAAAAAATTGTCGGTCTGGTTTTTGTTTATTCGTAGCGATATTAAAGTAATACTGGAGTCGGTTATGGTATTACTTACTGTTTTCATTTTTACATTGGCGCATTCCGGAAACGGAACAGTGTGTGAAGGAATCCAGGCGATGTAATAGAGTGCTAACCCCATGTACAGAGGATAGTAGATGCTGAGGAAACATCCTGCTATCAGCTTGACGTATCCTATACCTGTAAAGAAAAAATTGTTATTTAAATGTTACACTTTGGAAAGATAATGAACAATGTAAATTGTTATTACCCACACTCGTTATTTAATATCCTGAACGTAATATGTATTATTAACAATCGAAGAAGACTGTGTTAAATGACGCTACTCCAAGGACATGAGAATAATGAAATTAATTAATTCCTTTATAAAAACGTAAGATACAACGTTCATCATGTTTACGAATGTAAAACAAATGTTACTTGGGATATTATAAATTTGTTGATCCCGACCAGTTTCTTAAATACTAATACGCCAGGTGATCTACAATATCTATGAATTTTAATACTGGTACCAAATTGTACATTTTTGGTATTTATTATTTGATCCTAGTTGATTGTTTTTACGTGTCATCCTTATCAATTATGGTTTGACGCTATGTATTTAAAAACTGTTTATTTATCACTTATTGTTTCCGTTCTATAAATAAATTGTTACAAGGTAACAAAGTGTTATGTTAAAACTTTTTTTCACATTAAATTTCTTTTGTTTATAGTGCTGCTTATGTAATTAGCTGTCTCGTAATTTACACGTCTGTTCCTAAGTGCTTCCTGCTTCCCTAGTAGGAAGAGTAAGGTGAAATGAGCATCATTAATATCACGAACTATTATATTGTAGAGAAAAATTTGTAAATCTTGTTAAGTTTCAATAATTACATAGCCCGTATACCAAAATCCAAATTTAGGCTAAACTTTGGTGTGGTTTTCAATAAGCCATTGAACGAACATCAGGTAAGTATAACAACAGAAAATAATCGTTCCACTTTTTGTACACAACAATCGTCAAATTGTTTGTCTTCGTCTTTAACAAATAAAAACAGTATGGGTCCATTTGTTTGTAGTTACAATTTTGTAGTCTATGATAAAGGAAGATAAAATAGTGATCTGATTGAATGAAACATTTTATAGGTGATTGACAATACCACCTTGACGTAACGTTAATCCAGAAAATATTATTAGGTAATCTCCACGCGTTATAGAAGTAAATATTAAGTAAGTACCTTTCAAAAATTCGTTAAATTCAAGATAACTATAAATATGTTTACTTATTCACAGTATCCTATTATTATCTATGGGTCGTAAAACACGTACGTTTTTAAAATTTGCAGGATACTTAAAACTATATTGTTGACTGACCTATGTGACACTGTCGGAAAGTAGATACATTTTTTTGTATGAAATGATTCTGTGTTTTGTTATATAGGGTGTTTACGAAACATACGCCAAAAATTTCGTGTTTATTTCAGTATTTTTTTTTCTTTGATGATGTTCAGAAAGACGTTTTGTTTCATTTGGCTATCAAAATAAAGTAAAACTACTCTATCCTCAGACTTAAATCCAGTGGAAAATGAAGATTTTAAAAATCGGATAATTGAAGGATGTAATGCTACTATAAGAAACAACCCTGGTATTTTTGAAAAAGTTCGGCAGTTAATAAGGAGAAGATGGTGGTAGTCATTTTCAGCAGTTTTCGTAGATTAAGAATCTTCACATGTACAATATAAATTAATAGTTTTTTTTCGAGAAGCTTTTATCGTCCTGTATCTTCGAAACAATTTTTTTTCAATAATCCAAGGAATAACCTGAATTTTTAAGAATTGTTAGAATTGTTAAATAAACATCCTGTAGTAGTAGTAGTAGTAGTACATAATTTACAGCGTAGGAAAATAATGAACTTGGAAATTCATTTTTAATCTTTACTGCAAATTTAAGTGTCGAAATTATCTTTACTGGAATGCTTTGTGACTGAGTAATTTATAAGTGCAGTGCCCTTATTTTCACTCTTTGTGAAGACTGATAAACAGAGATAAAACTTCAGTTTAAATTCACTTTGTTAGATTTTACATCAAAACGTTTTTCAAAATGAAAATTCAATAGTTTTGTAATTTTTGCCAAGCCTAATAAGAAAAACCGAAAATATACAGCGTGAATCATTACGTGATATATAATATGTAATTGTTAGAAATCGGAAAAAAGGTAAAGACTAAAGTTGTAAGGTTATTTGAGAACCATACAATTATTTTCAACTGTACAGAGTGTTTTGTTTTTAAGGTATAACACAAAACTTTTTTAAAATGGAATCTCCTCTATATTTTTACACATCCTAATTGACCTCTTCTTAGTTTAAAAAACATAGGTTTACGTCGCGCAACGACGCTATACCGGGTGTCTGGAAAAATCGTAAAAAAATACCTTCTCACATTTTAGTGGAGTTATAATGATCTTAAAATTGTAGGTTTAAAATGTTCGCAGTTAATTTTAATTTTAGGTCCCCTGGTGTTTTATTTTCGGATAAATTTAAAGAAATCTGGTACCTAGTTTGTTGGTGGATTAACTTGAAAAAAACCTTTTGAGCTTTTAATGTTTTACTTTTTACGAATTTTAAAAAGTCTTGAGTGCCGTAGTGTTTGGGAACTAATGGTGTATTATTTTGAGAGCCCATGGAGATTTTTTTTGTAAATTAATTAAAAGCCTTTTGGAAGACTTTGGTGTTCTATTTTTGGAAAATTTTGACCTGACCTGTTTTTGACTTAATTTTGGGACCTCGTTTTTTTTTTTGAAAAATGTAAAACAATCTTGAGGTTTTAGGTATTCCTGTTTGGAAACCTCTAGAGTCTTTTTTTTATAATAATTTAATTAAATTTATTAGAGGATACGTCATTTCCCAAAATTAGTCTTAACAGGTACTAGCACTATCCACCGTCTCTCTCTTTTCTTAGATGATATGTCATTTGCCAGAATCGATCTTATTATAGCAGATACTAGCCCCGCCCACCCACCTTCTCTTTTCTTAGCGGGTATGCCATTTGCCAAAATCAGTTTTATCGTAGCAGGTACTAGCCCACCCGCCCTCTCTTTTATTAGAGGGTGTGTTATTACCAAAATCAGTCTTATCTTGGCAGCTACTAGCCCCGCCCACCCACCCTATTTGCCAAAATCAGTTTTATCTCAGCAAATACTGATGACTAATTTTTACAAAAAATGATGAAAATTTGGAGACTACGAGCTTTCTTATATCCACAAGGCAGGAATTTTGAACATCTTCCATAATGTTTAGTTGGTTATGCTTTATTTTGTTAGTTTTGTTTTTGTTTTAAATGTCTTATTGAAAGTTTCTTTTTCGTTTATTTATTAATGAAAAGCTTATTTTATTAAGAAGAATGCACAACGATTAATAACTTCTGGTTGCTATGGTTATTGTCCTAAAAAAAAAATTAAAGGTGGATTTCAGTCACCATCGTTACTAAGAAATCAAAAAGTAAGATGGAGGTATTCACACATTAGGTGCGTGCAGTGTTGCCAATTTTACTTTTATAAAATTGCGTTTGTTTTCGTAATCTATAGCATAAAGAATTTTTTTATAATTTTTTTGGGACTCCCGAAACCCTCATACATAACGTACTGAAGAGTTACTCCGCCATTTTTCAGACACCCCGTATATTTGTATATTATTTGCTATGCATTTTTAGGTTTTAAAACTAGAGTATTATATTTTTTCTTAATTTGCATATTCATCTTTTCACAACAAGAAAACATGGTTAAAATGGTACATTTTTGCAAGGAAATATGGATTATGTAATTATGGGGCGGATCCTAATATCGATATTTCCTTACACAAATTTTCCATTTTAAACATGTTTTCAGTTTCATGTTGTGAAAAGAAGTGTATAATAATTAAAACAAAAATGCAAAATGTAAGCCCGCCCACCCGCCCTGTCTTAATTGTGATGACTTTTTGTATTCGCCGTGAACCAAGGGGGTGGAGCTTAACTGCAAAATACTTTCTTCTTTACAGGAAATTAAAACATGTTTTTGAGTATCGTGTTGTTCAAAGAATACTAATACTTAATACTGTATATTAAGAAAAAAAGGCAAAATATTAACACCGCCCACCCATCCGATCTCAATTGTGATGGTTTTTTTATCCTTAGAAATTTAAAACACGTTTAAAATCGTAAATTTTTCTAGGGAAATATGGAATTTGCAAGTAGGCTCCGCCCCTAGGTCTGGCAGCGAAAGGGTTAACAAAAAGTTGAGCGATTTCTTACTTTTTTAAGAGACACACCGAACATTGACAGAAAGACATAAAAAATGAAGTAAGAAATACTAATAAAATACAGGGTGTTTATTTGAAAAACTGAAATATTAATATTTTTAAAATTGTAACGGTGTAGATTTTTTAATGAACATTTATATATTTTAAATTCGATTTAATTGATACCACAACAAAGTTCGTACCTGTCTTTATCTTTCCATAAAATATTGCAACACAGATCTTAAAAATAACATGATTACGATTTTATGTGAACCCAAGCAAACTGGAATAACAATGCCAACGTCGCATTTGGTTCTAAGAACAAACTATGATTACGAAGCCTAGAATAATGAGAATATATAAAAAAATATATAGGCTATTCTGTTTAAAAAAAACTAAATTATGTGCTTTACCTCAAAAACAAACCAATCTGTATAGTTGAAAATAATATTAGGTTAGAATTTCGATATATCTATCTGTTTTCAAGCTGTAAGATCGCGGAGCGTTATCTGGGGCACCTATATATGACCGAAAAAGAAATGAACGCATGTTTTTGCAGTTTTCATTCAGAATAAATACGCTGTTTCGCTACAAGTCATTTTCTTGAAATAATCTTTTCGAATATGGTTTATGATAAATATTTCCTAAAAACAATATATTTTTGGTTCCTACTAACTTATATTTTGCATAATTCCAACGAATTTATTTTAAACATTGTGTATTTCCCGTAATAAAATTGAAAAATTCAAGTGAAGTGTACGATAAAGTGAAAATTCCTAATTACGTAATCAATACATACATCAATCAATTTTGTTTATTTAGGAATCAAGTAATCTCGTTAATCTCTGAGATGAGATTGTACTTGTAGCATTATTTTATTTTACTCTGAATTAAGAATTGGTTGATGTTTTTGCTGCAACACTGAAATCATCAATTAGGAACGATCAAACGTTTATATTCTTTCCATTCACTATATTTTGACAATTTTCGTTTAGTCAAAGTCTGTCAGGAATTTATAAAAAGTTATAGTCTGTAGTAGGCTTGTAGTTAGCTTTTCTTTCAAAAATATGTGAATCAAAAGTTCTTCTGAGGACAGAGATTACCTCTTTAGAAGGAAAATACAAGATCCACTCGATACACGCATCCTGCTTAAGAATTTTTGCGTAAAATGATGTCATTAATTTTTATAGAACTGTGACGGCACAATAACACGTTGATAAGCGGAGTAAGATAAGGGCCTCGTGGTCTAGTAGTCAAGATATCGGCAAGCCGGTGACGTATGATTCGATTCCCACCGAGGCAGCAACATTTTTCTTAGCTTACCTTCAGAACAATAAACGTATAGAACCACATGTCATTCTATTCCTCATTAATGTTACTGTCTCACCAAAATTTCAAAGAATATTTTTTAATACTAGTTATCTATACAGGGTGTTATTGAAAGGTACGTACAACAAAATTGACAGTTAATCGCGAAGTCTAAGAAGTCTGAAAAACTTATTTTGTGTTATCAAAATTATAAGGGGAAAATCAACCCTTATCCAACCTTTTTAGACGCTGCTGAACGATAAATAGGTAAAATTAATTTATTTTAGTAAATCCTAGCAACTGTAACAATAAAACTTTTGTCAAGACTAAATGTTGCTATAGAAACGAAAGATGATCTTTTTATCAGAGGCGTACAACGAATTTGGAAATAAATTTTAATAATTTTTATCTCTAAAAGGAGAACACTTTTACCTGAACTTTTTTTACTTTTAGCACCCATACTTCGAGACCAATTGCCGATTTTATTTTGTACGTACCTTTCAATAACACGCTGTATAATTTGTATGCAAACATTTAATTTACTTTTAAGGATAACGTGTACAAGTAAAGGTTCAGAAAATTTTTTGAGAGGTCTGACTAAACAAATTCTGTTCTATGTTAATATACACTTAAAATTTTAGAACAACTGGTGGCATATTTTCCGCGAAGTCTGTATATTCAAAAATGTCCAACATATATATGGAATCATGAAAGCTGCATTGTCATAATCAACGGCAAAAATTTTTTAAACGTCGAACTGATTCTGGTGTACATTACACGACGATTGAAAACACATCAATAAATTGACTTGTTAATTGATGATAGTTTGAGCAGTACCTTCATTACAATAAAAAAAAAAAATCATGCCCTCGTGCACTTCCAAATGGCCGCTATTAAACCACCTTGACGAGAAGTTTATGTCATTTAACCCATAAAATTTCGCTTTGAACTCAGTTTATTACAAATTTAATGTTTGTAATATCACACTTTCTCTTTCTGAAGCCTTCGTTGATTTAAATACCTTTTTTCGGTAATGTTAATTTTTTTAGTTTTAATATTCAATTTTTTTCTCAAAAATTTGAGTTTAAAATCTATTGTCATTCCAAAAATCATGGTTATGGATGGGTTCCATTTTTTAACTTGTTTGTTCAGGAGTTTAGCGTTTTGATTATAACTTGTTCATGTAAATACTAGACGAAGTTACACAAGTCATTTTGTCTCACAATCAGAATAAACTGCCATCTTAAGTAAGTATTCTATACCTAACCGAATTTAAAATTGAGTGAGTGCTTTTATTTTTTCGAAGCGCCTGTATGAAGAACCAGATTTACTAGAATCCGACAGCAGTGATCCAATTTGTCGATGTACCTGTCACTGATAATTAGGTGCGCATTTTATTTCACATCAACTTTTGCTAAAATTCGCAATCAGGTTTTAAGTGTGCGAACCACCACAAAATTAAAAAATACCCTCCGGTCTAAACTTCAAAGAGAAATTGAAAGGTCTTTTCCAGATCGTTGCCCGTAACGAAACCAACCATACTAATTTTAACATTTATCACTTATCATACTTCACTAAAACCACGCGAATAACTGACCTTTGAAAAAGGGTATCGCCCTCCAGGACTTAATGAACCCTTCCTGTGCTAACTGACCTATACCCAATTCCAAAAATAGCAAAGGAAGTCCGACGAGTACGGTGAGAATGACGTACGCCGCTAAAAACGGCAGCCCACCCTGGTTGAGAGTGGCTTGTGGTAGCCTGTACAAGTTTCCAAATCCAGCTGCTAGGGCTATCGTGCACAGGACCGTCTCCAAATGGGTAAACCACGTCTGACATGACTGCAACAAAAAAGAAATTTTCAGTATGCGGTTACTTCCAGAAGGACGCTTTCTCTTCCCATAGGCGAGGTGCGAGTCGATCAAGATTGTCGAGTGCCGATTCAGTCGCAAATTTCCGGTTACCTTTTCCCAATTTCCTGTAATTGTAATGACACCGCAGGCGCTCATTCATAAACCGCTACCTTCTTCTAGGTCGGGTTTGTGCGTCCGAGGAACTTAAATTTGGGGTCGCGGAAGTTAATTTAACAAAAGAATGATACGAAACAATCGATGTAAATAGTATAAAAAGTCTTTTATGGTTTATCTCTGTTACCTTGTGGATTATATTGTTTATTGTTGGGTTCGAATTTAGTTGGCACAGTGTAAACTTCATGTCTACCTAAGTTATCAATTTTTTGGTGTGCGCGTTTATTTCAAAGTATAGTGTTCCAACTGCTGGTTCGTTTTTACGACTCCATCCCATTGTGAAGGAGTTAATAATACTTGTACGGTTACGGTAATTGACATTGCAGTTCCATACAAACGAAGTCATAGTTGGACCACTACACCTCCAGTTTCCAAAGAAGTTAACTAAATATTCCAATACATCATGAAATCTATACCACATCGTAGCTTCTCCGTTAAAATTAAATTTTTATGTATTACCTAACTTTGATATTTTTTAGCATGTGTTTTGTTTAATATACGGAATGAGTCACTAAGCTCGCGCATTTCGTTGTCTCATTAATTACTAAAAAGAGAAAAAAGTCAAGAACAAAAATTCTATGGTTTGTTGAAGACCATATACCGAAATTATTTTTACATATTCTAATTGAACTTTTTTTAACTTTATATCCACAGTTTATTTTTGAAATTCCAATGGAACGTTGCCATATCGATATTTCAGTTTTTTCAAATACAGCACCTGTATTTTATTACCATACATCTTATTCTGTTGTTTGTTCTCTTTCTTTTGAGTTAAGCGATTTAAAAAAAAAAAAAAATTAAAAACCACCCCCTTCTGAAGTGTGCATGTTACGCTACTGCCAGATTCTAATGACTCACCATGTTGAACTTAAAATGATCCATCTCTATGTATGATTATAGAGATACTTTCTATAATGAAAGGTTCTATTTGTACTTGTGACGCATGGACAATGTAGAATGAAGAGCACCCTCTAAAATGTCTCATTTAAGTCATTTTAATGTAGAATTTTTTGAGATGACGTAATAAAATTTGAGAACAATGGGTCTGGTAGTTTTGGAAATGGCCTAATAAAATGACTCTAATAAAAATCGACACAGACAGACGACAGACGAAAACGGGAGACCATTTTTTTCGTACTCTCTAGGAGTCATGAAACGTTGAGAAAACATCAAAGTTCCAAATCGCCCGGTGAACTCAATTACAATGCCTCCTTAGCTTACCCTTGGGAAGCAAAAAATCAAGAAAATTGAAAGAAATAGCGTGGCAACGTTGCATCGGAGTTTCAAAAATAAATTATGCTGATAAAGTCTAGGAATAATATGAGAATAATGTGCGTAATAATGAGAATATGTAAAAATATATATAGTGTATTTAAAAAAAAGTTGTGTACTATGCGTCAAAACCAAAACACTCTATAGTCTAAAATAATTTTAAAGTGTGCTACTCAAAAAAAACATAGGAGTACAACTTTAGTCTGTGACTCTTTTTTCTATCTCAGAGTATGCATACAGATTCTTGACGCAAAAAAATCAGATATGGGTGATCGATTTTATTATTTTTTTTAACAACCTGTACAATCTACTATAAAAATATATTATAATCTATTGTATTTCTGAATATTTTTTTAATAAACAGTTATTTAATGAATTTTTGCCATTGACTTCCTAAAGGAGATGATATTTATTCTCACAATCGTAAATGCCTTATAGTTTTGGTTGAACTTTAATATCTTGCCAAAATAAAAAAAAAATCGTGTCGCAGATTCTAAGACAAACTGTAAAATTTGTTCTTACAAAATATGAGATATTATTAGGCCACAAACAAAGCATTTTATGTTACACTATAAAATTCAGACAAAATTTACGTCACAAAATTGCTAGATTATGTTATCAAATTTTCCGTGTTTGTGATAACTTTAAATGGAGTGCAAAATTCCACAGTTGACACTTCTCTAGTTTCTAAGTTGAGTTTTTTTTTATATCAAAAATAACAAATTCTAAAATTTGGTTATACAGTTTTAATTTTTTTTTTCAAAAACCTATAAGGTCAAAAATAGTAGCGGATTAATAAACCACAAGTATACGAACATTTTAAGTAAGATGGCATAATTTTGGAGTGACGTCATAAATTCTTTAGTGACGATGATCCGACAAATTTTTGTTTCGTTTTACTATCTACAGTATGTCCTCGGATTGAGTTCACAAGAGGAAAAAAAATTGTATTTTGTATTTTACAAAAAATGACATAGGAATAACATTTTTTGCTTAATTCAAAACGAATAAATCTGCAATTAAAATTTCGAAAATTCCTAGTCCGGGACCATCAACACGGTAAGTTTTTGGAATCAGCTCATCGAGATTTATACTCCTCAGTTTTTTGGATTTTTAGATATTTTCAAAATCTCATTTGTCAATACTCCTCTCCCCGTTTGAAATTTTTGATCTTCCCCGAATCTTACTTTCGAAATTACACAAAAAACTTTTTCATAAATTTCGATTATTTTCCGGTTCTTTTTTGGAAAGTCATTACAATGTTTTCAGAACTGCCATTTCGAAATTATTTTTTCATGTATTTGTTATTTGACGAGCTATAGTGTGACTTCAGACTAATAATCCGTGGCGAATTCTCAAAAAGCTTGAGTTTTTCATTTTGCATTCGGAACGAGTTTTTGAAAAATTCCGTTTGCAAATTAATTTTTCAAGTTTGTCAGATGACTCATAACTGAATTTTCTTCAGACGTTCTGGACGAATTTTATGCAAAGTTGTGCTCTTTTCCCGTCGAGCTGAAGAGTTTTAACAGTTTTTTGAAAAGGGTTTGGAAATTATTTTCCCATTTTTAACTTGTTATTCGAAGATCTATGGCAAAATTGATTTCTGATGTATAATAATATACGAAAAATTTTCGTAGATTTTTTCGGAAATTTCAATCTCTGTAATTTATTTCTGGATCAATGAATGTCCGCGCTAATTTTACGTCCCCTGGTGTTTTATTTCCGTATAAATTTAAATGAATCTGGTGTTTTGTTGCTGGATGAACTTGAAAAAATCTTTTGAACGTTTAGTATTTTATTTTTTATGAATTTGAAAAATTATTGAGTGCCACAGTTTTTTTTTAATCCAGGGGACTCTTGGGTACCCATGGTGCATTATTTTGGGGGCCCATGGAAATTTTTTTTGCAAATTAAGTATTTAAAATAATTTTGTAGGACTTTGGTGTTCTATTTTTGGAAAATTCTGACGTGACCTGTTTTTGAGTTAATTTTGGGACCCCCTCTTTTTTTTTGAAAAACTTAAAACAATCTTGGAGCCTCTGGTGTCTTATACAAATTTAATTAAGTTTCTTAGAGGATACGTCATTTACTAAAATTAGTCTTATCTTCACAGGTACTAGCCCCATCCACCCATTTGCCAAAATCAGTTTTATCGTAGCAGGTTCCTTAAAATCGAAAAAAACTAAAAGTAACGAAGAACTTAGATATATGAAAAAAATAATTTTAAGAGTACGGACCAGGAATATTGAAGTTTTAATTGCAGATTTATTCGTTTTGAATTAAGCAAAAAAGTTATTCCTATCATTTTTTTGTAAAATAGTAAATACATTTTTTTTCCTCTTGTGAACTCAATCCGGGGACATACTGATATGATTTCTTTAAAATACGTAAATCTAAAATTTCATAGAAATCTATCTAATAATTTCAGAAGTTATTTAACGCCAACAAACGATATACCGACACATTACGAAATTTTAAAAATAATCTGTCCACACCTTTCACGATACCGAGTGTCTGGAAAATTGCGGATTAACTCTTCAGTACATTATATACGAGTTTTCGGGAATCCCAAAAAAAAATTCTTTATGATGTAGATTACGAAATAAAAAGTAAAATTGGCAACACTGCATGCACCTAATGCGTAAATACCTCCAGCTTATTTTCCGATTTCGTAGTAGTAACAATGATGACTGGAAGCCAGTAGTCATTAATCGTTGTGCATTATTTTATTATTAATAAAACAAGCTGTTATTTTTCATTAATAAATAAACCAAAAAAAAAAAAACAAAACCAACAAAAGAAAAAACCAACTAAACACTAGAGAAGATGTTCAAAATTCTTTCCTTATGAATATAAGTAAGCTCGTAATGTTTCCAAATTTTGTAAAAGTCATCAGGCCTTTCTAAGATAAAACTGATTTTGGCAAATGACATACTCTCTAAGAAAAGAGAGGGTGGGTGGGCGGGGCTAGTACCTGCTAAGATTGGACTGATTTTGATAAATGACGTATCCTGTAAGGAATTTAATTACATTCATATAAAAAAGACACTAGAAGCTCCAAAGCACTTCAAATTCTTTCCAAACAGGGATACCTAAAACCTCAAGATTGTTTTAAATTTTTCAAGAAAAAAAAACGGAGTCCCAACATTAACTCAAAAACAGTCCCCCAAAATTGTTTTAAATAATTTTCTGAAAAATCTCCATGGGCTCCCAAAATAATACATTCTGGGTACCCAAACACTGTGGCACTCAAAACTTTTTCACAAAACAAAATTTATCCTTTAAATGTACCCGAAAATAAAACACCGGGGGGCCTAAAATTAACTGCGAACTTTCTAAACGTGGTAGGATTTTTGATAGGTCAAACATTTTTAACTGCTTACTCGATTTTTGCTGATTTGTACTTAAGCTTTATATCAGGCAAGCATTGTTGTCAAATGGAATTTTATCAAATTATTACAAAAACAACACAACCATATCTTTGTACATTCTAACTGAAATGGTAATTAAACATGATCATGGGCGAAAGAAATATTTTCTAA